CCTTCCTTCCTTCCTTCCTTCCTTCCTTCCTTCCTTCCTTCCTTCCTTCCTTCCTTCCTTCCTTCCTTCCCAGCTAGGCATAATGCTACCTGGAGCTATTCACAATAAACCCTACAAGCTTTACCTAAACTGCATTGCCTATTTCCACTCACCAATTCCTCCTTGTTTTGCAAGAGTCTGTTTGCTTGGAAATCAAGAGATTTGGGAGACAACCCTCCATGGATGGTCCCAGTGGTTTTTTTTTGGAGTGAAGGGTGAGCTGAACCCAGAGAGGCTCACCCACGGCAGTTGTCAAATTTATCCTGAGCTTTGCTTCGGTGTCAGATGCATCCATAGCTTCTTCTCCTCTTTGCAGACTGTTTGGGCTCTCACTTCACTTGGCTCCAGTCCATATTCACAAGCTTTCCTGCACTGCTCAACTTTGTGAGCAGAATGAAGTGTGTGACTGGCATTTGCCCAAGAGACTTTGAAGACTATGGCTGTGCCTGCCGATTTGAGATGGAGGGCTTCCCTGTGGATGAAGTCGATGGGTGAGCTTTGGACTTTAGAGATGTAGAACCCTACATGATACCAATCCAGGCTGCAACTCCCGAGATGGCCATAGGATGGCAGCAGTGAGTTTGGGTTTTCTGTATTTCTCTGCCGCCATCTTGTGGCCTTCTATTTCTTGGGCAATGTGGTAGCCTTAGCTTGCTTCTTCTGCACAGCCAGTATTGGCAGCCAACAAACTGTAATGACCCACAATTATCTTGATCACACCCATTGTGGGAATGTGCAGAAAGCATGCTCTCTTTGCCTGTCTTTGTCTTGCTGTGCTCACTTGCTGTGAGAAATCCTCCATCCAATGTACAATGGGGAAAAAAAAAAACTCCATAGCCTGGTATGAGGGCATCACAGAGCCATGGTGGGATCATAGCTGAGGAGAGGACCAAGAGACACAGAGCTCTGAAGTGAGGACTGGAAACAGTTCCCATCAATGGGAAAGTGGTCAAGCCCAGAAAATTCAAGTAGCTCCAAATGGTAAAATGGAAGTTTTACCATTTTAATTTTGGAACAGAAGATAATATGCTTGGCTGCCTATTGGAGAAGTTGGTCAAAGACCCAGGCCCAGAGTATGATGCAGTTGTGAGGACCATGCCAAGCCCTATATGAAATTGCCCTAGGATGGCAAAAACAAGCGTATCATGAGTGTGTATCATGATTGAACAGGTATGGTTCCAGAAACAACAGAAGAGTCCAGTATCTGTTTTTGTCTATATATCCCTGACTTTGCTGAGGTGAAGTAGGAAATAGGACACGACCCGGCTGTCTCCTCTATCTTTCTTCTCCATCTTACAGTTTGATCTGGGTCTGTTTTGTAACTATATCTGGGGCATTTTTGAGTCTTAAGGACATAAAAGAATGTGGCCACAGATTCTGTGCCAAGTGGATCTGAAAATTCGTCCCCTACCAAACTTCATAGGGCTATAAAGGAAGCACATCTGAAAAGGAGGTACACTACTCAACGTTACATACAGACAGTGGTGATTATTTTAAAATAAAGCTTACCTTGGGGAAATTTTACCAAATAGAAGCAAGCGAGAGAGAATGGAACCAGGGTAATTTGCATTAAAAGGGTACTTTGGCAATTTATGTTACCCTATGTAAATTAAAGAAACATCCATACAAAGGCTCCTTCTGTTAGCAGACAATCTGAATTATGAACTTTTTTACATATCTCTTAAAAATCCAGAACTGGATTTTGATTGCTCTGTATATACTGAGCATCTTCTGTGATACTGAAGGATGGCCCTTACCTGTCCAATACCTCCCACATCAATGCTGTTACTCTCTTGACCTCAGGGATGTCCAGGGGAGGTGGGGGTCCCAAAATCTCTAGATGGTGGCCATGCTGCACGTAAAAAGGGACAGGGCTTTGTTCACATGGTCACAGCCACCCTTTTGGCTCAATTCTAACAAATAAAGTGGAGACACAGTTAATATCCTTTTTATTCCAAGGGAGAAGCTAACATTGAAAAATAAATGTAAATTCTTGAAGTGATCAGTGGTGAGACTGAAGCCAGACCAGATGCCCTGTTCAACTCTTGATAAGTCTTTCCACTCTATAGTTTTGTGGTTGTTCAGAAATGCTTGAAAGTGAATGTCTTTAAAGTAGTTCTTCCTGAGACTGAATCCTCCAATATGTTCCCAAATAGTCTCTCCTAATGATGCTTTTATTTCCTCCTCTCTCCTGGAATCAGCTGCTGTTTCCAACATCGGAAATGTTACGAAGAGGCAACTGAAGAAGAATGCCTGTGGGATCCTGCCAAAATCATCATGAACGTCAGCTGTCTAACCAAAAACATCACTTGTGGTAAGGTTGAAGTAGAAGGGCACTGCAACCAACTTTTATTCTGTGATTTTCTTTCATTAGTGAAATATTCTTCTCCTGACTTGAAAAAAGGGTAAAGTGGTTCAGGGACTACCCGTACCCAGTGTGTATGAATAATCCAGTATGAATAATCCAGTGGTGTGCTGAAAAAGAAGTAGCGAAGTTACTCTTTCACAAAGTGATAAAAGTAGTATTGCAATCAGGGGCATCTGCAGAGGGAGTCAAAGAAGTCAAGATGGCCACTGCACAACTGAAGTCCCGCCCCTTTTTAATGTGCATTGTGCTGCAGATAGGAAAAGGCTGGGTTTAGATTGTGTGGCTGAGGCTGCCCTCTTGAGGTTCTTGACCCCTTGTTGAGGACATACCTGGTTGTAATTCAAATACTTATTGCCTCTGAAGGGGGGGGAGGGCAACAAAGTCAAAAAAGTCAAGATGGCACCCATGATGGTGTGATTGAAGCGATGCCTGTTTTTATGTGTGTTGCAGAGCTTCAATCACACCACTGTGGCCACCATCCTGACTTTTTGGACTATACCCTGTGGGCACCCCTGCTCTGAAGAAGGCCCTCTGAAGAAGGCTGAAGTCTTTTTATTCATTTCAGAAAAGACAGTAGCCAATGGAGACAACCCAGTTAAGGAGTCCATATGTGACACCAGCTTACCTTCCTCTGCATGTAGTTCTTTGAACACAATCTCTACCTTATCACATTGCCCAGATCCCAAACATCTGGAATCTTTGGAAACTGGAAGACTTTAAAGTTCCAAACTCCAGTTTCTTACAAGCTAAAGCTAAGAATTTGGTTAAAGAGCCATGCACTGTGAAAGGATGGCCATGTTTGTTCATCCCTAGCCAATCCTCTTTAGCATGCTGGATACAATCAGGATCCTGTACAATATTTAGCATCTTAGGTTGATGTTTCTCCTCCTCTCATCCTTGACATCCCCATTTTCCATTCAGATCCTGACTTTTTTTTTTTTTGCAAAAAAGTGTTGCTTATCCCCATCATTTCTCCCAGGTGGCAGATTATATTTTCAGAGAAGCAGCTGGATTTTATCAGAGCAATTCTCTGATGAACATTCTGCCCAGCAGATCAAGACTTGGAAGAAAGCATTGTACAAAGGGGTGAATTTTCCATTACGTTCGACTTACTGCTTGCTGTGAAATGAACTCAATCATGCTTTCCTCCTGTGGTGATGAACTGTGTCTGGGCCCAGGATATGGTTCCCCACCTACAAAATGAAATGTATTTCTCTGGGTCAAAACCTTACAGAGAGTCAGCAGATTGCAGCAACAGATATCTCAGTCCTACTTTGTAAGTGAGCCTTTCTCTCTCTTTACATGTTGGTTTTTCTTTTCATCCTCAGGGTCTGACGATTCTTGTGAGCGTTTGCTCTGCAACTGTGACAAAGAAGCTATTGAATGTTTCTTGCGTTCTCCCATTAACTCTTCCTTGAACAATCTGGATGCTTCCCTGTGCCCCTCTCTGGTGACAGGTGAGAATGTTATGGAAGTTCTCTGAGTTCTTCGGTCCTGTTCTGATCCCTCATTTCCTTGCTCAGTACATTTGTCTTGTTGCTTGCCTGGTGCCAGAGTTGAAACAAACCAACGTTGCCTGGTTCTAGCACAACCCAAGATTTATCCTAAGGGGAGATTCTGACACTGCTTCCTGAATAGTGGGCAAGCAGGCTTTGAAAAAGAGATGGAAGACCTTCTCAACATTTGGATCTTCAGTGTGAGGTGAATGAGGGGTTTAAAATGTCTTCCCCACTCTGGGCCCTTTTTTCATAGCTGATACTAAGTCATTCTGCAGAAGACAAGAACCTACAGAAAGGCCCCTTGCAAGCCAAAATACCAGAGCACAGTTGGTACAAATAATGACCCATGGTCTAGAGCAGTGTTTCTCAACCTTGTCAACTTTAAGACGTGTGGATTTCAACTCCCAGAATTCTCCCAGCCAGCCATGCTGGCTGGGGAATTCTGGGAGTTGAAGTCCACACGTCTTAGTTACTAAGGTTGAGAAACACTGCTCTATATTCCTCCTGTCTTTTTATGCAGTCCCAGGACTCCTTCAAGACCATACTGTGTCAAGACCAACCTTGTCATGTGGTGCCAGGTTGCTAAATTACTACAGTGGGATTTCCCAATGAATTTTGGTGCCCAAAGCAGTAAAGAATCTGGCTGGCTAACATTCAACATAATCCCTCAACCACAAAGAGTACCAACCACCAACCTCTCCTTCAATGACATAATGATGGCTTCTTCTTGCCCTTTGATTGACAATTTCTTAAATAGCAAACTCTGGCCACTCCTGGTTTAAATAATAGATTTTAGGATCAGTATGAGCAGAAGCTTTCTCCCCACTCCCCTCCCTCACAAATGGGTTATCCTCTGGTAAATTATGGAGTTTTAAGCCCAGGATTGTTTAGGGCAAGTGGTTAGAGGCCATCAAAATTGAGAGATTTGGAAACTGGCAAACATTCAGGCAATTCAAACCATTCCTGGCCATCAAGGGTGTCTGGGGGAAGGGAGGAGGAAAGTAAAAAAAAGTCAAGGTGGCTGTGGTCACCTGCCCCGTTTTATACAGAATGGCTTTGATGGCATCATTGCGGCCTCAAATCGGACTTTTTTGAACCTGCCCCCCCAGCCCCCAATTGGCTATTCTATGACCTATTGAGGTATAGAGGTGGGATACAGTGGACTTTTGAATTGATACCATAATTTTCTTGCCAACTCACCCTAAAGGTATGGTTTTCATAACCCCCAAAGGCAAACAAGCCAAAGATCTGGAGTTAAATGATAAACTGAAAATCTCAGCTGTCTTTTTTCATTGCAAGTTGCTAGCCCTTATGAGTCCAGAAAAAGGGAACATCTACTATGCTTTGTAATGCGTGGATTAGGAAATAGAGGATGCTGATGTAATAACTATATGTTACATGTGGTATAATAACTCCATGCAATAACTACACGTGATATAATAATTCTATGTTATATATGCACAAACTTATGATATATTTATATTACTGGGCACCTGTTCCCTCTCTTTTCAGAAACATCTAGTGTGAAAATTCACACCGCAGTTCCTGCTTCAGGTATACTTTGTACCTACAAAAGATTTGTTTTATTTTTTTAGTTATTTAGTTATTCCTCCAATTTATAGGGCCACCCCATTCAAAATGACACTGGGCAGCTTGCAACAAATTTAAAGTCCGATAAAAACCAGAAAAACAAAACAATTGGTAACTGTGGACAATCGCTCCATAAAATGCTTAAAACAGTATTGTCCAAACTTGGCCACTTTAAGATGAGTGGACTTCAACTCCCAGAATTCCCCAGCCAGCATGGC